AAAGCAAGCTACAGATAGTAAGTGTTTTTCTCTCAGGAAGCATCAAGTAGAAATAATTTTCCAGAACAACAAGAGCAATTATGTATATAGTTTGGTAACATCTGTAATTTATATGATAAGCATTGAATAAAAACAGATTTTGGCTGGATACTCAGACATCTGTGGAATTTTTTCAAGATACAACAAAAATAGAGCTGTGCCATCTTTCTGTTGATATAAAGTCTGAATTCCAAGCAGTAACAACTTCTAAAGCAGCAAAGGTAACTTCACCCCACATCGGCTATTGCTTGCTTTTTCACTCCAACTAACAATCTTAATACAAACAAAACGGGAGATACCCTATACTTTCAACCATCTAAACCTCATGAGAAGTACTGCAAAAAAAAGTTCAGACATGACGTGTGAATCAATCTTCTCTCTCCTTCCTCCCTGCTCCTTGTGCAATGCAGCTCTTCAAGACTCTCGAGTCTTGGCTTGAACACAATGTATTTTGTAGTACTGAATAACACTCTGGATCAGGTTTTGGCATTACAGTTTCTACTATTGTTTTAAAAGATTTTGCAAGGGGTAGGTTTAACATTTAATTGAAAGGCATATGATTTAAAATCAGGTTGCTGTTTTAAGGGAACACTGAAGTAATTTTCTACAAGATCACAGAATCACAGAATGTGTTGTGTTGGAAGGGACCTTTAAAGATCATCTAGTCCAACCCCCCTGCAGTGAGCAGAGACATCTAGATCAGCTGCTCAGAGCCCTATCAAGCCTGGCCTTGAATGTCTCCAGGGATAGGGCCTCCGCTACCTCACTGGGCAACCTGTTCCACTGCTTCACCACCCTCATGGCGAAGAACTTCTTCCTAATGTCTAATCTAAATCTACCCTGCTCTACTTTAAAATCACTGCTCCATGTCCTCTCACTACACACCCTGCTAAACAGTCCCTTCCCAGCTTTCCTGTACATCTCCTTCAGGTACCGGAAGGCTGCTGTAAGGTCTTCCTGCAGCCCACAGATAAGTGTACACAGCCCAAGCCTCCTTCCATTAAAAAGTGAGAATTCTGTCCTTATGTCATTACAAGTAAGAATAGGGTTCTCTAATAAACTGATGGGA